GCACTGGGTTCAAGTCTGGTCCCTCTTTCCCTGTGAAGATATAAACGATACCCTCCCCTTGGGTGGGTTAGTGGAGGGCAAGGGTTTTGATGAGTCGCAGGAGTCAAGGAAAAGAACGTATCTTGGCTGTGACCTTGGTTCCCTACCTGGCGTGTGGAGACTCCCCTTTAAAATTTCTTTAAAAAAATATTTGAATTGTGAGTTAGGTAAAGGCTTACAAAGCAAATCAGGTTTCCTTGTGCTTCCCATTCTTGGGGCCAGCTGAAGGCGTACAATAGCTTGCAAGTCCACCTGAACAGTCCCTGCAGCCTGGGTGGGGGCGGGCTGCTCTGCTGGCTGCCCGAGGCCTTGCCTTGGAGTTCCTCAGTAGCTCATCCTCCAACAAGGAGCGTTTGCTCCCCTGTTCGCCGGGCAGTGAGCTCATTAGTGGCCCTCCATCCATTACATGTGGGCATCAGGCTTTCTCTCACATGGAGACTCAGAGGGAGGTTGATGTATGAAGTTCCTCCCCCAGCGTGTACTCATCAGCCCAATATCCCTTGCCCAGCATGTGCTCACCTCTGCTGACTCTGGCCCTGTCAGCCGCTCGCCTCCCATAGGGGACTTGGATGCAGTTTGCCTGTCTAGTCCAGCATGCACTGCTCCAAGAATGCTGGTGCTGCATCATGTTCCTCGCCAATCAGATCTCCTCAGGAGACCATATGGGGTGTGTGGTAAGAATGTAGACTTAGGCTGCTCTGTGCAGTACTGCTTGGCTGACCCTCCCATCTGCCTGGGCTGGGTCTCTAACTGGGAGCCTCTGGAAGCAGAGGCATTGATTCCGGAAGACGAGCAGGGAGAGGAGGAAGGTGTAGCTTCCGTTGGGTGGCACTGGATTTGACTGTCTGGTCAGGGTAACCCATGTCCCGGAGACTGGCATCTGCTGTACGTGTGAACAGAGCATTTTGTACAGGCCTCCAGCCTGGCACTCTAGGGTTGGCATTGAGTCAGCACAGCTCCCGTGAAGGTGTTTGTGTCTCTGTTCAATCTCAATGGCCTACCGTCCAGTTGACACGGTTTCTAGGTCATGGTTTCGTGAAAAATCAAGTTTTCATCTCCTGAAAGCTCATCAGCTGTGTTGGTCATTTTCAGTAGAAGGTTGTAGCGAGAACATTAGATTTGACGTGCATGCTCTCGTCCTACCCTGGAAGGTTGTGATTTCGTTCTCCAGTAGGAGGGACAAAGAGGCCTAGTCTCCTTTATATCCGGTTCCCCGAAGAAGGCTCTTATGCTCTTAGAGAAGTGGCCAAAGACCACTGTGTGGCCCTGGACCTTAGTCTCTTTCTCTGTCAAGTTGGAAGTGAGGGTTCTTATTGAAGTCATAAATTTTGAGAGTTTGGAAGGATCCCTGGTGGTGCTGTGGGTTAGGCATAGGGATGCTAACCAGAAGGTTGATGGTTCAAACCCAGCAGCTGCCTCTTGAGAGACAGATGAAGCTGTCTGCTTGTGTAATGATTTACAGTCTCTGAAACCCTTTCCCTGATTCAATGGCAGCGGATCTTTTGGTTTAAGAACTACTGGGTGGTAGAAATAGTTAAGTGCTTGACTCGTAGCCCCAGAGCGGACAGTTGAATCCCATCTAGAGTTATCTTGAAGACAGGCTGGGGATCTGCTTCCAATAGACTCCAGCCTTGCAAACCCCATGGAGACCATCTGCTCGGCACATATGGGACTGCAGGAGTCAGAATCGACTCAATGACAGGTACCAGCAAGAACCAATCTTACGTACACGCTCTGCAGTCCTTACAACAGCGCTGCCAGACAGACATCACTAACCCAATTTACGGATCCACCCAACTGAGTCTTTTGCCCAGGGACTCAAAACTCATGGGTGGCGAAGGAAGGACTGAAAACCCCCATCTGTCTCCAAATCCTTTATTTTTACCCTTACTTTGTGTTGCTTTTTAAGGAGGCTTGATTCTATAATATTTGTGGTTCCTTTCGGCCTTATGTTCCTCGATTCAGTGAAATGGCGCCGAACTCGAATGGAATGGAGCCAACGCTTTGTTGCAAGGATCTCTAAGATCCACTCGAACATCTGTTACACTTGGTGGCATTGGTTCAAATCCATTTCATTTCTAACGACCCCTTGCAGCACCTGTCTTTGGTAACTTAGATCTGTTAGGCTTGAAAGAGTTTCCTCTCAGATCTAACTTCTTTTGGTCATTTTCGCTCTTTGCACCAGCAGGAACCACGTGGCTTGTCAACATGTACCAGCTGCGCAAGGCTGCTCTGAGAGCCAGCTTCCCCGCTGGAAGGCTGAGGAGTCAAAAGTGCTTTCCTTCATCCCAGGTGTAGGCCCATGTGGAAAGCAGCTCACTGAGCACCCCAGAGCTCTCTCGCGTGACCCCAGGGTAAATGTGGGGGAGAGAGTGGTCTTACCGCTCACTCCCATCACATGAATCCCACCTCGGATTGGTTTAACCAGGTGATATTTTTGCGAAGCTGGTTTCCATCTCACGGTGGCAAGTCCCTCACACAAAGAACATGATGGATTTTAGACACTCCACTTGGAGCTTAGGGAAGGACAACACGAGGACAGGTGCTGCCTAGAGCAGGCACCGAGCAGACAGTGTTGATGGAAGAATGAGTGAGTATGGAACACTGGTGTTGGATGGCATAGAAGCTTGGATCTCCGTTCCCTATTTACGCCCATGCCTTGTTTTTAATTGGTTAGCTGATTCGTTAAAGAACCTGGACCATATGATACCCAGAGAGTTTTCCTGGATACAGTACCTTCATGCTTCTGGGGAAAGAACTCTCATCTGAGATTTTTTTAAAAAGTAAGACAACATAAAAGTCACAAATGCAAGCACTTTCGATACATTCCTCCCGTTCTCATGACGTTGCTCCCGGAAGGAAGCTCGAGGCTTGGAGGCCTCTCCTAACACATCTTCAAGCTCCCTCGGTCTCTGCAGAGGCCTGGAAGCATCATTTCAGGCTCAGGTGGCATGAAAAAGGGGCTTCCCTGATGGATCACTCGAGCCCTGGAAGGACTTGAGCTTCAAACCATCACCATCCTTAGGCTGCATTTCTCACTGGACGTGATCAGAGAGCTCCTAACGCCCCAGACAGTGCTGGGCCTGCCGATGGACCCCTGCAGCAGGAGAAAGGATGCATCGCGTTCCTCCTCACTTCTCCCATGAGTCCCTTCCCTTCCCTTCCCTTTACTACCTGGGCATTCAGCATCACTTGAAAACAGTGAGGGATTGTGTTCTTCAGAGGATGTGGCCGCCAGACAAGGAGCTAGTGCAGGCGTCATCCTCAAACTACGGCCCGGGGGCCACATGTGGCCCGCCGAGGACATTTATCCGGCCCGCCGGGTGTTTTTGCCCCGTTTTGTTTTTTACTTCAAAATAAGAAGTGTGCAGTGTTCATAGTTTTTTTCAGAACTATAGTCTGGCCCTCCAATGGCTCTGATGGACAGTGAACTGGACCCTGTTTGAAAAGTTTGGGGACCCCTGAGCTAGTGTGTGCCCGCACCTCCCTCCTGCAGGCCCGTGTTTCACACTCATTTTGCTTCTCCTCCATGCAGGACCAGCTCTGGGTATTCCTTTGTTTGTGTGTTTCTCTCTCTCAGTGTGTGCATATACACCTGTGCTGTCTGTCTGCATGCGTGCAGATGGATACATGCACATGTGCAAATGTGTGTAACACACACACGGTGTCTGTGTGCACGCATGTACATGTGTCGAGAAGGATGCCGTCTGTCTACCTGGCCATGCAGTCATGACATTGTCCTGATGTGGGCTGTTTTCTCTGGGTCTCAAAAATGCATGGCAGTCACTATGTTTATGATTCAATTAGGGAACTGGAAGTGTCCCAGCCACCTGTCCTCCTCAGCTTCAGGAGGAACCTCATTACCATCAAATCTATGGCAACCGCGCTGCCTGCATAATGAGGCACGGGAGGCGCAGCAGCTGTGTTCAGCGTGGCGTGGGGACTGGCGGAGTCACTGCAGGGGAGGGAGGGAAGCGAGCATCATCACCTGGCCGCCACAGAGCAGCTTCGAGTGGCAGTGAGCCAGACCCCAGGGACGGGCTAAGACTTTTTGGAAAGTCTCAGCCTGAGGAGACTCTTGCTGTCTAATTTAGCGGGGAGAGCACTGCCTCTAAACATACTTATTTTAGAAAAATTAAAGCACCAGAGAGAAAACAGATGGGGAGTCTTTCTGGGAGAGCTGACTGTGGGCTTCAGCACGTTTAGTCAACCCGGGGTCCCAGTTCTGTGGCTTGACCATCGTATGGTGGCACAGTGGTTTAAGTCTTGCTTCCCAATGGGGAAGACCCAGGTTCGATTCCCAGGCAATGCACTTCCTACGCAGCCACCACCCCTCTGCCGGTGGGGTGTTAGGTTACTCTAATGCTGCACAGCTGTTCAGGGGGGCTTCCAGGATGACATGGACTAAGAAGAAAGGCCTGGCAAGCTACTTCTGAAATTCAGTCAGGGTCTGATCCACTGCCGATTGAGGGGCGGTGCAGGCAGCATTTCCTTCTGCTGTGCACAGGGTCACCAGGAGTCTCGCTCGGACAGACTCAATCATAGGTAAAGGCAGCAATGTGCGGCCCTGGAGCTTCACCTGTCGCAGAGTTTTGGAAGCTTACTCTGGGCTGTCCACCCAGGAAGCTAAGAGGAAGGCTGAGCCCACTCTGCTTGCTGGAGACTTCTGTGTCGACCAAAGTACTGTGACCAAAGGACAGGGAGAGGGGAAAGCCCTAGGGGGGCTGTGTGGCCCTCTGGCCAGGAGAGGTCTCTGATGGGTCTGTGTCTTCCACTGGGGGCTGAATGTGGGGCCCCTCATGCTCTTTCAGCAAAACCTCTGACCTCTCCTCCCCCTTATCTCTTGTCTACCCTGATAGAGGGAGCGGCTGAGGAACATCGAGCGCATCTGCTTCCTTCTTCGAAAGGTCAGTGCAAATGCTCCTGATGAGGGTGGGGGGGTCATGTGATGGGGGTGGAGGGTCACACGGTGATGGGGATAGAGGGTCATGGTGATGGGTGGAGGGTCAGTCATGGTGATGGAGTGAAGGGTTAGGCTGGTGGGGGTGGAGGGTCATGGTGTTAGAGTAGAAGGTCAGTCATGGGAATAGGGTGGAGGGTCAGAATGGTAGGGGTGGAGGGTCATAGTGATGGGGGTGGAGGGTCATGGTGATGGGGGCGGAGAGTCACATGGTGAAGGAGTGAAGGGTTAGGCTGGTGGGGGTGGAGGGTCAGGATGATGGAGTAGAAGGTCAGTCATGGGAATGGGGTGGAGGGTCATAGTGATGGGGTGGAGGGTCATGGTGATAGAGTGAAGGGTTAGGCTGGTGGGGGTGGAGAGTCGTGGTGATGGAGCAGAAGGTCAGTCATGGGGATGGGGGTGGAGAGTCAGAATGGTAGGGGTGGAGGGTCACATGATGATGGGGGTGGAGGGTCATGGTGATGGGGGTAGAGGGTCACATGGTGATGGGGTTGGAGAGTCAGGATGGTGGGGTGAGGGTGGAGGGTCAGGATGGTGGGGGTGGAGGGTCTCAGTGATGGGGGTGGCAGTCACAGTAGTGAGTTCCAGAACCTGCCCTTGCCCTGTCTCCCAGGACAGGTAAGTAGTGGCAGACCTGGGAGAAGTGGGAGCAAGGGGTGGGGTCATTTGAGATCTCCAGCGAAGAGGTGTTAATGAGAGGGGTGGCCATCCATCAACATGTCTGGCAGCCCTGGCTTGTGCAAGGACCCGCGGGTTGGATTTAGAGGATGGCTTTATAGCTCACGTGGCCTCAACCCCTGTGTTCCTTCCGGCACTGGGCACTGGAGCCCTCCCTTTTCACACGGGGACACTTATAACTGGATGCCGGGTTTCCTGGGCACTTTCCACCTGTCCCTCACTCTGCGGGGCAAGAGTGGGCGGGGAGGCAATCAGGACCCAGCACAGGCATTTGGAGAGGGGTTCTGAACGGCTGCCCTGAACTCTGGGAAGCCGAAGGCCACGCACATATGGGGCTGCAGCTTGGCATTGGTCACATGCCTTGACATGGCTGGTGGACCTCTGTGGCCGAGAGACCGCATTGCCACCCTGCAGTCAGGGAAGTGTATTTTTGGGGTGCAAAGTGTAGAGAATGGAGACGGACAGGTAAAATCAGTAACACCCAGAGGACACTACGGCCCTCCCCAGAGTGTGATGGAAACGAAAGGGGATGTTTTTGGAACGTTCACATCTTTATTAGTAAAACGTGTAAAGCATCCCTGTTGCTTATTCCCATCGCAAAAGCTAACAATCCCTGATGCAAAGAAACCCCGCCTGACGGGGGTCCTGGAGCCCATAGGGAACCCACATGCCATGCCGCCACGCGACAGCAATAGAAGGGAGAGGAATCCTTCCACAATTTGACCTTTTCCCTCCTCATTATTTCAGTAATGATATCTTCCATTTGGAGAGTGAGCGTAATCAAGAACCGATTATTTCCCCTGCTAATTACTTGTCCTTTAATGTTTTCTAAGAAACCCAGCGGGTCAGACTTCCACACCTTGGATTTCGCAGCAGGACGTGTGCGCGCGTGAGACTTGCAAATTAAAGTGCTAGGGACCAAGGAACAAAGAATGTCTAAGAACACGCCACCTAACTTTGGTTAAGGGTCTTTCATGGGTTTGTAAACTGATTCCCCAGATAACGTCTTAGACACCCACCCCCTCCAGCCAGGCCATCCCATCCAGAGGCCGTGGTATGCCCTGTGAGACGCATAAGGGAACAGAGCTGGAACAAGAGTCAATCACAGATTAGCATTTTAGATGCCAATTGTCCCATCCTTTTTTGGGGTTTTTTGTTTTTTGTTTTTTGTTTTTTTTTATATTACGTAGTTTTTTTTTTTTTTTTAAACATTTTATTAGGGGCTCATACAACT